AAAGAATGAACCGTCTGCCTTCATTTGTTAACATTGATGGATAGCTTAAAGAGTAAGCATGACTATATTTGCTAAATCCTTGATCCAAATTAATTGAATTGATTAAAAAAAAATTTCACTCGAATCTAAAACCACAGGATTTTGGGGAATTTATTTATCCCCCAAAGACAGGTCAGATTTGGGGAATTAGGGAAATCCCCAAAATTTTATTTGGATCTGAAAATAATTCTGCTTTGAGCTGGGGAAGTGGAAAAGATATAAATTGAGAAAGTTTATTGACAGTCAGAAGTTTCAAAGGCAAAATTGCTCAGTTCGAAAAAAATTGGGAAAGCTAAAATTAAATTATTCTGCTATAAGTTCTTTTATTTTTTCTTTTAGAAAATTTATTAAAACTTACATTTTTGATGCAATCTTTTCCAGGGATTTTCAATATATCCAACCCGGTGAACCGGGTAGCTCCAGGGGAATTAAAAGAAGATCACTTTAAAATGAGTAATTTGACGACAAAATAATTGTTTTATTACTCAGACGAGCACCAGCTGCAGTATATTTATCACAACGTGCGTGTGCTTTGATTTCAGGCGCACCAGCTGGCTAGGTGAATTTATCATAATTTCCAGGAAGATCCCCCCCCCCCACACCTTCATCATGAAATTGCTCTAATCCTCATGCTCACTATTTACAGTCACGCTCCAACGGATTCGGGAAAAGCGCGGGTAATCTTCGATTCAACGTAGCGGCCCGCCCTGGGGCAGTCTGATTTCTTGTTGACGCGGCACGGCCTCCAACTGGTCGGGCAGCCTAGCAGGGAGGGACGTGTACGTCACTGTACAGGTTGTCCGCCGGAAGTGAAGAGCAATTAAACAAATTGATGGTTCCACTGCTTGGAGGAAAGTTTAGACTAGTCTACGCGAGAACCTAATCCTTACTTTTAAATCTTTTCACCTAAATATCCTCCTTTTCCTGTAACAAAAATTGTGGGATTTCATAAATATTTAGAAACTGAGAATCGATATATCCCTTAAAGCTTTACATGATCAAGAATTAATATTTAATGTGATATCCATATTTGTAAATTTGAAAATTGATTATTTTCATTAGTAAAAAGTAAAAACCTAAAATCTCATTTGATCTGCTGCTAAGTCCTGAAGGGGCTTTCCTCTAAACTGTGAAAAAAATTTATAATTATAAGAAATAATTTATTACTTCTACAACATATTGGTTGATATATTCAAAGTTATTATTAATATTATTATATTACAATACTGATGATTATGGGTAAGTGATTTTAGTTAAAAATAAGATCACATAATCCTGGATAACGGAGGTTGAGTGATTTTATTCAATTTTATCAATATTTATGTCAATATATTGGTCTAATCTAATCAGACTGATCTTAACTAAAGTCAAGAAAAAATAACTTACTAATAGCAGAATTTTAAAAAAAAAGAATATAGGAGGGAAAAATGTTTTAAAAAATGTTATTTTTGTCCCACCCACTGAAGCACTTGCCCCCGGGCCCCTTCAATATCCTGCAAAATATTTCTTGTCCAAATCTATGATTGCAATATTTTATAAAAAAATGAAATCAAAGCATCGAGTAGAAAATATTCATGATTCAATGAAAAATTGGATATTATAGCTTGACAACAAATATTGGGGGTGCAAATTTCATTAGCTGAGAGGGGGGAAGGGATTTAATGATAAGCAAAAAAAAATTCTTCTTTTTTTGTTTACGAGCAAGTTAAAATCCTAATCACCATTAAAAATAAGTTATTTTTTCTTGGCTAAAAATCGAGGATTGCCTTAAATTGCAAAAAAAAAGTTTCTTTAGTGGTAACATTAGGAATAATACAAGTAAGACAAATTGTTGAAAAAAAAAATAAATCTATTTTGAAGAAGGATTTTAAATGGTTGGTAAATTTAGCTACACTTGAAACAAATTGTCTTATAGTTATACAACATAACAAGTTACAAAATGGAAAAACTAAATAAAGCCTGTAGGATGGGCTAGCAACAAATTCAATGCTTAATGAGTATATTCACCACAATTCAGACAGATATGTAGTAATTACGTTAGTTTCTGCATCCTTAGTTTAATGTTATATTCAAAACCTTCAAGTTCAGAAAGATCTCATTAAGCAGCGAGGGACAAGTAGTTAAACTGCAAAGTGTCCCAATAATCATTAGAAACTATTTCAAGAGAGTCTATTGAATGGTTTTTTTATTTAGTATCGTGAAACCTATTGAGAAAGCTCTAATCCGTAGAATTTTCGTCTATTAGTTTAGAATTTGTTTGTTTATGTTTTAATTGTATACGGTTGTACACAGTAAAACAAGAAAATTAAGGTATAATTATAAACAAAGTAAACTGGTCTGTCCTCGCTGGTACATAAGTTACATGGTATGTGACTTATGAAATGAGGTCAAAGACGATCTCTTATTCTTCACTTAATTCCCATGTTTATTGGGTCACCCTGTACTTCTTGGTGACACTAGGCAGCTAGTAGAACTACTTCATTACGGACCTAAGAACTGGGGTTTGAATTTTAACAAAATGCTAAAGATCAAATCATATCTGACTAAAATGTGTTTAATTAATATAAGAAGTGTCAACACTTAACATGTGGGAGTGGAATAAAGAATTTACTGCACAAAGCTGTTTGAATAATTTCAACGTGGTCAATAATAATAAAAAATAATTATTATATTTGACGTAAGGACAAAATCACATAAAGTGATAAACATAAAACTGTAGAATATAAAGACTAAATATAAAACAATTAATTGTACCAAAAACCTGGAAAATTCACTGTTAAGAAGAGATGTGACTGTTACACTTTAAAAGTTCTGTTTAGCCGTCGTCTTTCTATTCCACAGTTTTATGGGTACCACTGTAACACACACTAGAACAGGACACGTAATATTTGTTTATAGTTTGGTAACCATTGTATACTTTAACCACTTTACAGCAAATATCTTTGCCTTCGAAAAGCATACGGATCCAACATATCTTGATCCCAGGATCCGGATGTGGCTCCGCAGATTTCGAAACTTTTATTATTAAAAGCAAAATTTTGAGTGAAAATAGTTAAACTCTCCTGGTCTCTCAAAATATATTAAAATATAAAAGTTACCAAACTTAACAACAATTATCACTCCAAGTTGGCTTTTTATTTACAAAACTTCAACCCTTTGAACTGAATGAATTCTACGCGAGGAAATACAAAACTTAAAGATTAAAATACGACTTAAAGATGAAGTAGGGAAAAGAATATCTTAAATCTATCAAATTTCCACCGAACAGACCAACTTTTTTTCTTTCGAAACTTTACTCTTGAACATTTTTGTTTCCCCCGAAATTGTTTTATATGTCAACATATTTTGGACCGTTTGTATTAAAGAAAATAATAAGTTGGCTGTTATTTCGATATTATCTTTATATTTTTAGATAAAAAAAACAATGGATAAGACTTTCGGTTTACATTTTGATTTATATCAAGCTTTTAAACAGCATGGATGGAGATACACATAGAAGTCAAGAGAAACTGTAAAAAAGGTTGTTAGAAATCAAAACTTAAATAAAAAAGTCCTCTTCATTGTATTGATACAAATACCTATCACTGTAGGTCCTCAGAACAAAATACACCAAGAAATAAAAAAGTCCTCTTCATTGTATTGATACAAATACCTATCACTGTAGGTCACCAGAAGAATATACACCAATAAATAAAAAATCTTAGAAGCAGAGAATAAAACTAAGAACTAGAGGAAACAAAATATAATTCATTGGTGAAACTAAATAAATTTTCTAGGCAGGATTTGTGAGACAAGTAAATCTAATCTTATTACGTACAACAAGAAATATCAATATTTAAAGAAAAGCCAAAAGATCGATCAACCGTCCTTCTATAGGAAAATGTGTTACTATCACGTTGTGCTGGGAGATCCCGAATATTATTACAAATCTGTTGCTTGAATATTAGATGATACTTTTCTATTCTTTCTCGTCTTTGGCTCAGTATCAACCTAAATATACCATGTTAAAGGGACAGTACGACATCTTTTTGTTAAAATAAATTTTTTAAAACATTATTTTCATCATTTATTCGTAATATTCATTTAGTCTTTTAGAATGAAGTTTAGAAAAAAGAAGCACATTTATTATTCAGGAGTAAAGCAGTAAAATTGGATAAAATGCATTTTTCCTTAACAGGTGCCATAGTCAATATTTATAAAGCATTCATAAAAAATCCAAAATATTTGTCAAGTATAGATATTAGATATAGCTCTATTTTAATAAAAAAAATTAGGTAAAAAAATTAATTTTGAAGAAGCTTTAGAAGATTAGAAATTGAAAAATATTTTTTTCCGATAAATCAAATTATCTCAGATACGGCTACTTGGGTAACAATAAACCATATAAAACTTCTATAACTAGAAAACATTCCCTTTAAAATGGTTATAAGCCACAAGTTTGCCCAATACGCAAAAAAATCATTATTTTTACGAAATTGCGCTAAAAAAGTAGGATTTAAATAGCAAAAATATTCTCTGAAAAAAATATTTTAAAAAAATTCAAAAAGAAAAAATTATGCTACAAATTTTATTTTTCCAAATTTGCAGATTTAAAACTTACAAAATTAAGAAATTGCGAGAAAAAGTAGGATTTTAATAATAAAAATATTAACCAAAACATTATGATTTTTAATTTTTTTAGAAAATGCAAAATTTGTTATATAAAATTTACTTTTGCGAATCTGCAGATTTGAAACTTAAAAAGCAAAAAAGTTATAGTCTGACATGTAAAATGTCTACCCCCCCCATACCAGTCTTTGTTCCCCTTCATTTATTTTAAGTTTTTTTTTAGAAATCTCTAAAATTCCACCTTATTGTTAACATAAAAACAACAAAAATGCTTCAGTAATTTATTATAATAAAAAATGTTTTATGAATAAATTATGGAGGACGTAGCGTCGGTCTCCAAATAACACAAGGAGTCTAACTTCAGAATATATTTGATTCTAAGAAATAACAAGTCTATTCGTATCGGTATCAAATCACATGAATCAACTAGAGTGAATGCAGCGTAGAATTCTTCTAGCTCTTTCCTTTGTTCCTGGCTCTGTTGTAAGGAGGCCGCTGGGACTCGTACAATTCTAAGTTATGTTTAAACACTGTTTAAATTTTCCGGAGAGTAATACGTTTTGTGGCCCCCCCCCCTTTATATGCCTGATAAAGTCCATTAGGATTTATATTTAAAAAAAATAAATCTTGAAATAAATAGAATTCAATTTTATGAAGACATATTATCTGTTATATTTGTTTATCAACAAGCTTTACAAGACTTTGCAGATTACAAATTTCAAGTTTTTCTTTTTTACTTTAAGATGTTTTTTGGATTAAGAATATATCACCACAAAAAGCGTCCACTGTTAATCTGGAAGAATATACAATTTAATAGAATTAATCCCAATAATCAATAATCATAGGTTAACAACAACATAGACAGAACCCAAGATGTCGTCTTTTTAAGATTTAGGGGTTTTTAGTTCACAGACCCCGAGGCAGAAGCCCAAAGGAGTCATGCGCATGCTCTCTCTAGGTCTTGTAATTCAACGCGGCATACGCTTAACTTCTTTGGGCCTCTGCCTCAGGGTTATTGTGAACGAAAAACCCCTAAATCTTGAAAAAACGACATTTAGTTTTCTATTTGTATTGTTATTAATATATGCAATAAATATTTTACCTTCTGTGAAGGATCTGTACTCTGTTTCCTTGGATTCCCCAGGGTTACTAGACTAGACGCCACAGCTATACCTAAAATAACATTGAAAAATATTAGAGGTGAAAATTACCGAAATTTACTGTCGAGTCATTTTTAGTAATCCTTCATGCAAAGATGGCAAAGCTCAATTCACTTAAGTACCCTTGAAACATTTATCAGATCAATCATTTCTAGGTTGAAAAGTGTTTAATTCTGATAATTCCACTGTTTTTTCCTGCAGCATGCAAAATGCAAAGCCATTTTTTTAATTAAACTGAATTGAGAATAATCGGTTTTAAAAAATATAAATATTAATAGCTAATTCATACTTGATCATAAAAAGCTTTAAGAGTACCATTGTCAATCGGGCATTGCTATCTTTGCATCGCCATATTTAAACCGTAAACCAGGGTTTTAAATAATTATTTGGCAGCGAGTATTCTGGCCCCAAAAGAACATCTTTAAAAGTTAACTTGATTGTAAATAAAAATATTAAAATCATTGTTGAAAATATGTTACACTGATCTTTCCTTTTCCCTCTCATAGCGTCATATATACCTGTTGATTAAGTCTAAAAGTACTGCAAGAGAGAAACAGTGTGTCAAAAAAATAAACTACAGAAATGTGGATTTAAAAAAAATTCCAAGATAAAAAAAAAATAAGACATTATGAGAAGAATGACAAGGACTGTAATGTAATGTATCTAAATTATGACTTTTATAAAAATTTGGAAAGAAATTAAACATAAAAATAATTTAGATATTCATTTCGAAATAGCAATTTATGTTTGTAAATTGTATACATTACTATTTAATATATTCCTACGATGTATATTAATTTTTTTCGTATTTTGATTTAATTATTAATATTGATTAATCGATTGATTGATTGATTGATCGATCGATTGATTTCTCGTCGATTAATCAAATGAAGAGTTATTTCCTCGATCAAACATCATTTAATCCAAAAAAATGATCTATAAAGTGTATACCTTGAATTCCTGGAGGTGAGAAGCTGTGTCCTCCTGTAGGAAGTCGAATTATTAAGGAGAGCACAGCAGCCCTGTTCCCAATACAGGGCTCAAGGGCTATAGGACTAGGACGGGTTTTCTTACGCCGCTTCCTAAAAGTAAAAAAAAAAATTAATCAAATTGAACTAAAGTAAATTTCATTTCAACTAAAAAGCTTGCAAGTTTTCAAAAAGGTTTGATAAAAAGTTTACTTTCTCCTTTTTAAGGTAACACTCGAGGAATAACGTAATCACAAAGACGTACCAGTACCAGTACCAGTACCAGTACCAGTAGAAACATTTGGGCATTTGATATGGAGAGATTGACCTTCATTAATTATTTTAATAAACAAATCGAAGAAATTAAAAATGTAGAAAGGGGGAATAGGAAACTAAAAAAATATGGAAAAATTACGTTCCTACACAAACCCCCTCCCTCCCTTGCTAGAACCACCACCATTACCTGAACCATAACGATAATATACAAGGGAGCACAAGAAAACAAACAAAGAAAAATTGTATTTAAAATTCAAAATAATTAAGACAAAAAGATTTTTAAAAAGAAAGAAAAAAGATAAATGGGAAAGATAAAGAATGGAAATTATTTTGTAAAAAGGCAATAATTCTCTGAAGTTGTTTAGTATTGAAAGCCAGGTATTTAATTAGTTAAAGATGTATTGTTAAGAAATTCTTTAATCATTTATAAACAATAATATGGACATTTATCTAAGTGAAACAAAGACATCTTTCTTATTTTCTAAACTAAGTTGCTACTTATAAAAGCTGAATCACAAGTAATCATTGTTTGATTGGAAGAACTAATATTTGCGCACAACTGGACAGAACAGACTAAGCAATAGCAATTATTTAAACACGGGTCCATATTATTCCATCCAATATACGATCCCAAATGTTGATTGATTGATATTAGGGGCAGAAATTAACCATATTATTATTGTAAACAATTGGAAGTAAGATGTCAAGTTGTAAAAAAACCGTACTGCAGTCTTGCAGAATGTATACTGCAAGGGAGTGTTTATTTTTCTGTATTTTATAATTTATCTCTTATATTGATTACTGAATACTGATATTAACATATTTTAACACCCCAAACGAAGTACACATTTCTGTGTAGTACACGTACACAAAAAACTTACTAAGTTCTCAGTGACACAAAAAGTGTATTTCCATGCCCCTAAATGTACTCTCAACCCCGATCGTATTTCAGATCAGAAATGGAATAATATGGACCACTGTTTTAAATATATATAAAGTTGTAATCTCTGATTGTCTGTCTGTTTGTTTGTCCGATCATAACTCAGGAACCCAACTGATTTGCCTCAAATTTTGATTGTGGAAGTCGGGTAACCCAAGAGAATGTACAATACATAGCTTGGTTTTAAGATTCTGAGTTTAGTAGGTCGACTTTAAAAGCGAAAATTTTGTTTCCCGTTAAAATCGTTCAAGTGCGGGTAAACGGCGGGAGTAACATTTAGTAACCTGGGCAGCACTGGGTTCCCAAGCTAGTTAAATAATAAATCTAATTCTAGAGTTGTCCTTACACGTCACAGTAGAATGAAAACAACTTTTCCCTCTCTTCTTCGTAATTTTTCACTTTAAAGGGACTGTTAGCGCAATTTTAAGGGACACTCGGTGGAAATGCCTGATTCACAACGGTACACTTAAAAGCTTTTTATGGTCTATAATATCGAATATATTGTCGTTTATCTAGCAGTTTAAAAGTCTCATAATCCGAACTAGTACGAGGATGGGCCTAAATAGTCTCTACCGTACCAGCCCGACTAGTGTACCCAGTATGTAGTTGACCCAGCGCGTTTAATGCAACAGAATTAGACTGGCTGAACTTCAGTGGTAGGTTAAAAGTGTTAAATTATAATTTAAGTTTTTCTGTAGTATAAATGCCCAAGTCACTTTTACAGAGAAAACACAACTAAAAATAGCCAGTTATTCAAATGATTTAAACATTGATACTTAATTCATAATTGAACATGAAAAAAATGTAATGGTACCGCTGTAAATCGGGCACTGCCATGTTTGCAATGAATGCTCACTTGTAATTTGCTCTTACAGTCCTTTAGAATGTACCTGGAACTAATGATAGAGGGTTCTGATGTGTCTGGTATACAAAACTTTACTAATATAATCTAATCCTACCTGGAACTAATGTTAGAGGGTTCTGATGTGTCTGGTATTCGTTCCAACTCTACTAACACACTACCGAAAGGTCTAAACATTAATGAAGTTTAGTTTAAAAATCTAAATATTTACCTGATTAAATAAATTGATTATTTAAGTGATGGCTCACAAATAAAATCAACTATTTATTAAACCAATCATGAATATATATTATATATATCAGTTGAAACGCAACAATCTTCTTATAACATTTTATTCATATTATATATTTATATTTTTTGGAGATTTTTGCTTTTTAAATGGGTCGAGTTTCATTATTAATCTTACATAATAAAAAGGCAAAAATGTAACCCTTCAACATTAAAATTCATTAATGTCTGAAAAATGTAACCCTTCAACATTAAAATTCATTAATGTCTGAAAAACTTTGAAGTTGATTTTTCTGAATTGGAAATATTTAGTTTCTTTGATGTGAAAGAAATCAACTAAAAGAGAGAAGAGCAACATTTATCTAACATTGTGATTTTATTCCTAAAGGGACTGTATACTTTTTGTTCAAACGACCCTCCACAATGATATCTTTTAAAGCTTTGTATGATCATTGACGGAAAATTTAGGTGTGAATGTACACTGCGTATAAATTAACATAAAATGGATTCCAAAAGCATGCACTTTGTTTTCAGCTGGAATAATGAGAATATCTCCGTCGTTCTCGGTGAGAAAAAGATTTAAAGGATACCAAATGCAACTCTACAAAGGGAGGGTCAATTTTAGTTACGTATACAGTACCTTTAAATAATATAATATTGATAGAATAAGGCTTGGTTCTTTGAAGCACGAATATTGCATATTTCAATGAATGAAAATTTAAAGACATTTTTTAAAATAAAGAATTTTTAAGAAGTTAAATTTATCAAACATTTAATAATTAATTACCTTTGTATATTTTATTATCTAGATAACAAATGTATTATTTCTTTGCAACTTCTTGTTATTTACCATAGAATTCTCTTATATCTTCAAGTTCGAACCACGCCATAATTAAAAATATTAAGTGAAGAAATAAACCCCAAGGTAGGAATTAATGAAAAACGATGATAGGGCTATGTTCAACAATTTCTCGTTAGACATTAAATCTGACCACTGACTAGTGGATAAATATAGTTTATGAATATGACCTGCTCGCCATTTGTTCCATCTCAACATAGAGTCTCTGTCGTCTTCGATATCTGTCGTACTTCTGCTTTACTTTCCACAGAAACGCGGCAATGAACAGAAGCGCAAGGAAGCATCTTTAAAAAATACATTGAGACCAAAAAACTTTGGATTATGAACCACAGCAATTCTGCGTACACATACTCATTTCAATTTCATTTCAATGAACTGGTAAAGATTGCTTAAATGTCTTCTATTTTCTTTATTATTTCAAAGATTGATAAGAAAGTCCCAGAATAAAAACTTACGTGCAGAATGTGATGAAGAACTGAAGAAGATCTAGTTTAGGATGTTGGGAGAAGGATATAACAATCCACAGTGGAGAATGGAAATCATAAACGTACACGTAAAAGGTCGTATTCTCCTCATTCCCAAACACATAATCACTCTAAAATAAATAAATCAATAATTATCCTATTTGTATCCTAACTTAGTTATGTTTTGCAAAAATAATTTAGCATCTTCGCATAAATATTTATTTACAGCAAAACTCAAGTTTAGATACCTTTTTTAGGTTTTAAAGAGCAGTTCAGCTGCACTTGCACTACACAAACTCATTAGTAAGATTGGTTTTAAAAGCTTTGTTTAATGACAACTTGCAAATTTAGCTCCAAAATATTAATTTCTTGTCCCGAGGTCAAAACGTATGTTTAAACCAGTTTATAACACGCTTAGTCAGTAAAACACATCAGCTGCGATATCCCAACCCAACCGACAGTTCTAACCTCAGAATCATCTAATGAGTTTTACCACATGATTTAAAATCAATGCATAATATTTCAAATTTTCCTTGGTAAAGGAATTTTCAAATTATTGAACCCAATATCATCAGAAACTCAATTTTTGGGATGAAAAGAATTATCTGAATATTGTAAAATTGGTGTTTTCATCAAATTCAAAAAGATTAAAATATTTAATGTAAATTTTTAAGTTTTTATCTTTTGATAATTTTCTGTAAAATTTCTTTTATCGTGGAAATTTGAGTTTGAAAAGAGGAGTCAATCGTCAACACTAGATATAGACTTATAAACCATAAACCATAACTATTCTCCGGTAAACCCAAACCCAACCTTTCTTAGACTCCGACAAATATATACATCAGGTGCAGTGAACAACGTTTCAAAAAAATAGTAAAAGCTTAAAATCTTTTTATAATTTTTCGTAAAACTTTTATAACGTCTATTATAACAAAATGAATGGAGTGTGCGTTAACCCTTACATTTTTTTTTCGGTAAAGGAAAGAGTTCCATCCCTTAAATATGTTTTAGTTCTATTTAATCACTTCATTCCTCAAATAATATTTTAACATTTATTGTGGAAATTTGAGTTTGAAAAGAGGAGTCAATCGTCAACACTAGATATAGACTTTTGGGAAAATAATAATTTTAAGCTGTAATCATTTCTGATAAGTTTTTTTTATAATCACGCCTTTTCTTAAGAAAATGGAATCGTTAGCGCTTCAAATAGATTTTAACACTGGTTAGCTCTTTGTTAGTGGAGCCACGAAGTGACGTCCATACAAGAAAAAATATAATCTATTTAAAGTTTAACTGGGAATTATAATTTCTTGAAAAGTTTTCCTTTACTGTTCAAATAATGTTTGTCACAATAATAATAACAATAATAATCGCGGTCAAATTAAATCATGAATGTTAAGGATTGCTTGAGGCTTCATTAGACAGCTTAGAGTTTAAAGCAGCCAGTGCTAAGATTTTGGCTTCCTGGATTCGGATCCGCAAAAATATGCGGATCCACGAATCCGGATCCAAGGGGTAAAATATCAACCAAAAACTGCAAAAAAAAAAAACTTTTTTACTCCTTTAACCCAAATCTGAACTTTTGAAAAAAAGAGATTATAAAATTTCCTCATTTCTAAATGGTTTATCAATAATAAAAATAAGCCAAAAAAATAAAACAAAAAATTTGAAAATTATTCTTTGTTAAAGAAATTCAGTATATCTTAATGACCTGGATCCGGATCCATTTTTTTCTAGTGCAGATTCAGGATCCGGATCCGCATCAAAATTAAATGGTTCCTAAGCACTGGTTTAAAGTCCTGATTCTAGAATGGGTTTTCAGCCCGGATCTGATTTTAAGTTTGACAGAAAAAATTGAGCCTCAATGCATGAAAACCAGATACAAACTATTTGAGAATTGTTTTTTTTGCTAAATTGAGAAGAAAAAAATTGGGTAAAAAAGTTTAAAGAGAAACAGATTGCCAGCTTAGAAGTTGTTTTTACACTATAAACATCACTTATCTTGGGGTTAATAAAAAATTACCTTTGAAAATCTGTATTTGAACATTGAGCAGTTTTTGTCTGAAATAATTTTATCTTCTTTCCTCTCTCCGTCCTTACCAACATAGCGATAGGTGACGTTCATCTAAACATAATAGAATATGTTGTATATAATATCATATATATTCCGAGAATCCCCCCCTGAGGAAAAGTTGTTTTTCAATGGCTCTTAAGGTTTCAACTGAACAGCGTAAACTAAGAAGAAAGGAACTAGAGGATTTAAAGTACTTTTCCTTAAAAATTAGACCAGAACTGAAAATTGCGAATTTTCTTATTAAAATTTTGCAAATTTTCTGTGATTCAATCTTTGTGAAATTTTAGAATTTGATAGAAATAATTTATATACACATTTTTGCTTCTCTGAACTTTTGATTTTGAGAGAAACAAAGGTTCGCGGATTTTTTTTTCGGACCATAGGAGTACCAAAAAAATAAGAATTCAAAAAATACTGAAAATACACTTTATACAGGAGATTTGCACAAAAAAGGTACAATTTTGCACCAGGCGCCGCTAATCACACTTTTTTTTGACTCACCCTGTAGAATATGTAGCATAAAATATTACATATATTCCGGAAAATCCCCCCTAAACCCATTGACCCTTTCTTAAAACTTAAAAGTATCCTCAAGCCTTAAAGTAAGTATTTTTGTTAGGTTTTAACAGCTAAATTTTGAAGGACTGGAAAATTTTATTTGTCTATCTTGCAAGTCATTTCAGCTTGGCAAATTTTATTTTTTTTAAATATTTTGTTCAGATTGACAAAAACCATTTTCCAACTTCGGTTGAAAAAAAAATAAGATTTCGAGACAATGTAGTAAAAATCGGCCAGTTATGTGTTCTAGTCATGTTCAAAACATAGTAAATCGGCCAGTTATGTGTTCTAGTCATGTTCAAAACAGAGTAAATCGGCCAATTAGGTGTTCTAGTCATGTTCAAAACATAGTAAGTCCTGTTTAAAATTTGTTTAACCCATGTTCATTGTTCAATTGATGTTTAAATAGAATTTTTAAATAATGGGACGTCATATCGTTTTAAACATTGTAAGATCTAAAAACTTAAGGGCTTTAATGCACATTAAGGGCTTTAATGCACATAAATGTATTAACCTTTAAGGCTACAGCGCGAGTATCAGTCATTAGTGGCTGCCGAGCACGGGATAGATTAACCTTTAAGGATACAGAGCAAGTGACTGTGAGTGACTAACCTTTCAGCCACGAAGCACGCGAGTGACTAACCTTAGAGGCTACGGAACACGTGATGGAGAAGTCAACATCAACCTCCGGTTTGGTTGGAATATTCTTGAAGTTAATCTCCGTATAATGACGATCCTCTGGTTTCGAGAGATTAAATGTGAACTGATAATCTATGGCTAGCTCATAGAAGCAGGACTCTTTGATCGGATCCCCGAAATAATGGTTTTGAGTGTCACATTTCTCACAGTGGTCTCCCGTCACTCCTGCAATACATATTAGGTTGAGTACTTTAAAGGGTTAGTCAATTAATTCAATCAAATGCTAACATCGGCAAATCAAAACTAACCCTTTTCTATCTGGTCCTCGTCGTAAAATTTAATTAATTCCCAGACAATCATTGTGCAGAAACTATCAATTTCAAGGCAGAAAAACAAAGATATCTCAATCATTTATTAGCAATGGGAACAATGTTTAGAGTGGCCAATTGAAAGAGAAACATTTCATTGATGAAGGCCTCCTAGCCAAATATTAAAGGTTATCCACACATAGGAGTCAGTCATTGCCCTTAATCTATTTTCCAAATTATGCCACTGCACTGTCTGATTACTCTTTAAAAAATTCAGATAACAGATAAAATTTTCAAAGTATTCCACTTTAAATTTTTACTGATTTAATATTTAAAGAAAAAACTGTATTCAATAGTTAGTATTATCATAATTCACAAGGGTATCACCAGCAATGAACACAACATATAACGATCATAACGATCTCTAAAACGATCCTACCTTTAGTATTACAGAAGCAGTTTCCAGATTTATGATCACAAAGACTTCCTTGATTATTGCATTCACACTTCTGACAGGTTCCACCGTTTACAGGGTTACCAAAGAACCCGTCTTTACAATTCTCACAGTTCAAGCCCTGAAATATTATCATTATTATTGCGATAAGTTATTTTCCTAGATTCTGAAGTGTTGTCATTATGTTGCGATATCTGCAAATGTTCTTAAATTATGAAAAAATTGACAGATTTTCTTGAATCTGAGGTTTATTTTTATGCTAAAATTTTGGATAATTAATAATTATTTTTTGAGCTAGAGCAATCTATAGATAAAATTGACATTTTTAAAAACAAATAAAGAAAGCTATGGTTACCGACATATTTTATGTGAACTTTGCCCAGTCAAAAAATCAGGAATTTTTTATCAATCGTACCGATTCCACAGCTCGGTTTTTCATCAAAAATATTTGATCTAAATCTAGTCAAAATAAAAATTACGAAGTGGTTGTAACAAAAAAAAATTATGAGACATAGAAAAGAAAAAATTTACACCTGGACATAACTGAAATTTTTTGGAGTTTTAATGATACCTTGATATAGAAAATTAAACGAAAATTGTTCCCTCAGTACCAAATAACCCTACTGTAAAGTTTTTTTTTGTGAGACACCATTTCTGGAACATATTCTCGAATGAACACTTTTGCAACATATATTCTCGAAAAGATGAAAGAATGTATTTTGATTGTCAATTGAAACAAAAATCAACCAAATATAATTCAGAATGAAGATAATGAGTTGAACTTCATCTTGACGACTTTTTTATGGAAAATTTCATGCAAAAATTAGCTTTTTATTGCGCCAAAATCGAAAAAAATTATGTTTCCGAACTAAAAAAATCCTTAAAATCCGTACAATTTGAGATATTATCCGTACATTCCGTACAATCCATACAATTTTTGGTACAAATAAAAAATCCGTACAATCCGTACATTTTGGCCACCCTGGATAAGTTATTTTCATGGATACCAGTTTCTTTCATTGTTCTCAACCTTTGTTTTTTTCTAATCATTTGGTTAAACGTTTAAACCTTTATTTAGGGCTTAATACTAAATCCAGCCTTTAGATCTATTAAGTTTAAAAGTTTGGGCAGTTATTGATCTTAAACGTAAAGAACTTATCCTTGTATTATGTTGACAAGACTGATCACGTATCACTGGTCAAAGTATAAAACTTACCCTTGTATTATGTTGACAAGGCTGGTCACATATCACTGGTCAAAGTATAAAACTTACCCTTGTATTATGTTGACAAGGCTGGTCACATATGCCCGCTAAAGTACAGTTGCTATGACCGTTGCACTGACAGGCCGGGCAGCTGGTGAAATGCCATTCCATTTTCTCATCAGAGCATGCAGTACTCTTCTCCCAGATCCACTGATTCTAAATATCAGCAGAATCAAAACAAACAATCAACCAATCAAAACAACCAACTCTGGTTAGGCGGGTACAAACTTCATAGTAAATTGTGATTTGTTATTTGTATTATCTCGTGCTTTGCAGTTGAATAAAAATATGAAAATATGAAAATATGAAGTAAACAAATTGCTGATCTGATGACTTTCAAGTGAAATGGAACCTTCAAAGGGATTTTTTCAATTCGAGGACTAATGCTTGATCCTGACACTCAATTATATAGTTTATCCCTGCAGGCTACCACCAACACGGATATTGAAAGGGGATTAGATTAATCCGTAGATCTCTATTAGTTGGATGATCAATGCTTGATTCTGAGATTAGCAAAACAAAATTATTATTTTCAGAATACCAGCACTTCTTTGCACGACCGAGTGACCCCCAACAAGTTTTCGTTTTACCCCCAAGTGTGAGAAAAAAGTACATAAATGGATTTCAAACTTTTATTACAAAAAAGAAGAACACCTAATTTCAAATTTAGTTGTTAATGCTTATAATTGTGGATGTTAAAGAAGTAACACACCTGATTCTTTTTCCGTTGAAGAGGTCCCTTCCCTCCACCTTCATGGCATCGTCCTAGTCCAGTTTCTAGTCCGTCATCACACCAACCACAGGCAGGGTTACTCAGACAAGTACTAAACAATAAGATAAGATAAAGTTTATTGCTAAAATACATGTATCTGTATACAGAACGAGTTAACGATTACAAATTGATGATTATATTAACAGTACAAGTATAAAGCAATTAGGTGGAAAATAGCTCTTGGCTGTTTTGATTATTTTTTCCACCTAATTTTAATAATGATAACAAAACATATCAATTAAAAAGATTTAAGGAGAACTATTAAAGATCAGGGTGCGATTTTATCTTATGCAAAAAAGTTTATACATTTATTAGAACAACTAGAGTTTAAAGTAATTTTCTGACATGTACACAACAAATATAAATAGATTACAAAATTCATAGAAGTGATAATAATTATAATAATTATATAAGTTCTAGAATCTAGGTATAAGATAATAAAACAATAACAATAACAATAATAATAATAATTATAATAATAATAATAATAATAATAATAATAATAATAATAATAATAATAATAATAATAATATTAATAATAGATAGATCTTAGACTTAGTTATCGGGAACCCGAAATGGAACCCCCAGACCGCCTTCAGGGCGCAGAGCAACAACATGCAGCTTAAGGCCTGGATCCATATACCTGCCACGCAAGACAAGATAGCAATAATAAAATCCAAGCTTTAAAGAAATAAACTCAGTCTTTCAAATCCCATTAAACAAAGTGTAACGAAACTGCTTCTATATTTAAGTTCCAATAAAAATTATAAAACAAAATATAATGAAAAGTTTACCTATCCAGAGGCCGAATTTAAAGAATTTGAGCCACGGCTCAAAAATGAAACGCGATTCGAACATGGTTGGTTCCACATGAAATTGTACTAGTGCTTCGAGAGATTTGAGCGCCGGGGCTCAATTGGAACCGGTTTTTGGCAAATAAGCGACGCGGTTTAAACTCTTTAAATTCTGCGTAAGTCCAACTTATTCCCACCCAACCATACCTACCCCTACCCTACCTGCATGTCTGGTATCCATTGCAAAGGTTTGGTATGGTTGAATTAGAGTCCTCTGCTTCGTGGCATTGATCAGCAGTCGTAGTCCAGTCCATACATTGACCATAGGGAAACGAGATTAGGTAGGAGTTTCTAAATATATTATTTGTTCAAATCAACTCAAATTGAACTTTTAAAGGAACTGCAGATGTAATTTAAAGTGACCCTCCAATTGTGGAGAAAAAAATTGGACATCAACTCGAAGTTTTTAATGCTCTTTCTCAAAATTGGATTTAACTCTTATTTCTTCTGATTCTAGCTGACCTGTCAACACACATTTGCTGATTATGACACCACATACAGGTCCCACTAGTACAGTTATGGCAGGATTTCCTCTCAGAGCAAGTAACTGGACAGTTCCCTGCTGGTTCCTTCTTCCCTACAACTACACCTCCTCCTCCTCCACCCTCCTCAACCTCATTACCACTAGAGGAGATACTCTTCTCACGACAATACTTTTCCGCACTTTGCTTCTCAGTGTTCCATTTACATCTAGATATAAATCAGATTGCATCAGATTGTTAGGTACGTGCTCTAAAGTCTACTCTATAACCTTGATAATAAAGTAGGATAAAGCTGAATTGGGATCCCGGCGATTGCTTTTGTCAGAATAATCATAATAAATAATAATAAAAGCTATCGATAAAAAAATTATGATTTGTCCTTATACATAAGAAACAAGATCCGTAAGCTCCCCTATCTCAATTTATAAATTAGACCAAAGTAATCTGGAAAAGTAAGTATAAAGCCAAAATTGATTGAAGCTGCTTTGCAGAGAAAGAAAGGAATATTACTCCGTACACAATGGTCAAGTTGTTAAAGTCAATCTGGTACTTGAAATGAACTGTATCTATAAACATTTGTCTTGTTTTTATGTCTGTCTGTGTCAAAAAAATGTCAAAAAAAAACGAAACCGATGAAGCCCAAGTTTTCTATGTGACAACTCACACAACCAATCGTTGGTTTATAGGGGGTTAAAGAATCAAAGTTCGCCTGAAAAATGTCGATTAATTTTAATTTTAGAAATCTTTCAATGTTTACAGAAAAATCCGCAAAATTTAGAGTTTAACCATTACGGAGAAAAAGATCGCCGCTAAAAAAAGCACAATTTAAACGCTTAAATTGTTGAATTCTCCTTACCTAGTAGAGACTGAGCAGCCCTCACAGGTGTGTAGGTTCTCACACATCTCCTTGGCGGCGGAGACGGGGCAGTCCCCTAACCGGTGAACCGCCTTCAGGTCTTTCCTATACATAATGATAATAATTATTAACAAGATGATCTGAAAGGCATAGTTTTGAGAACCAGTTATTTGGCTTTTAAAAGGCTTCACAACAATCTGAGATGTATGTCATTTAAAGCCTAAAAATCAGCCTGAATGTGTTACAACTGACCTAAAAACCAGCCTGAATGTGATAAAACTGACCAAAAAATCAGCCTGAATGTGTTAAAACTGAACTAAAAACCAGCCTGAATGTGTTAAAACTGACCTAAAATCCAGCCTGAATGTGATAAAACTGGCCTAAAAATCAGCCTGAATGTGTCACAACTGAACTAAAAATCAGCATGAATGTGTTACAACTGAACTAAAAACCAGCCTGAATGTGTTACAACTGACCTAAAAATCAGCATGAATGTGTTAAAACTGGCCTAAAAATCAGCCTGAATGTGTTACAACTGAACTAAAAACCAGCCTGAATGTGTTAAAACTGACCTAAAAATCAGCCTGAATGTGTTAAAACTGACCTAAAAAACAGCCTGAAGGTGTTAAAACTGAACTAAAAACCACTCTGAATGTGATAAAACTGACCTAAAAAACGAATCGGACTTTTTACCACCCGGCCCTGTACCCAACCCTAAGCATTAAATAAATTTTTTTTTCCAAGAAATCCTTTACATTGCTTTTTATTAAAGGTCAAAAAATTTAAGTGAAAGTGTCAAACAGGAGTGATAGGGAAAAAAAAAACTAGAGGGGGGCATCAAACACCCTCCCCCTGCTTACTTAGGGTTATTAGTAGGCCGCCTAATCATCCCCCTCAGATATATAAAAAAGGTAAATTTTTACACCTGGTTGGACATTTCTCAGAAGCACAAGAATCTCCACACCATACACACTGCTGACTGGTGGCCAGGCAACTAGAGCAGGACGTCTCAACCTAGACAATCAATCAATCAAGCAGTCAATCAATATATCAGTTAATCAATAAATCGATCACTTTTTTAATCAATTAGTAATTACTCAATCAATCAATAAATAAATAAATAAATATATCAACCAACCAGTGTAAGACCCATTTTACATTAAATTTATGGTCAACCTTGAGCAATAAATCAATCTATCAATCGACTGACCAATAAATTGATCAATTTTTATCTTAACTAGTCAAAAAGTAAATTTAATCATTTCTTTAAAAACCTATAAACTCCATAGCTTAAAAGACTTACGTTGCAGTCTTCAGTGTTATTGACAGATGGTGCATTGTCCGGATAGGGCACTTGACACATTTCTTGCGCACTCCGCTGAATATCTGCCGCGTACAATTCGCAAACTCCTTTCTTGCGATTCCAGACGCATTTTACGCCAAACTTGCTGGATACGCACTGAGATGGATCCTACAAAATATGCTTTGTTATGTAAAGTAATAAAAGAATTTACAATAAATTCGATCATTTCACAGGATAGACAAGGACAATTTGATGAGGAATTATTGGTCCAAATTGAAAATTTTTATTGTTAAGAAAAAAGTTTTCTCTGTCCAACATTTTCTTTGTCTTTATTATATAGAAACTTGATATACACAATTAGTTATAGAGGTTTTAATGACCTTACAGTAACACTTTGGCACTTAAAATGTATGTGTGTTTATGAGTAAAAGGTTTTTATCGATGTTCTAATTATAATTTCGCCATGAAAACCTTGCGGATCTTGACCTGGGAACTTTTGTGCTCGATACCCTATCGCTTAATTCTAACTTGAAGATAAATGATTCATCTCTTCATTGCAATTATTTCTCCCATGATTAAAGCTCCCTTAAAAACCCTGACCAAGCGGGATAATAAAAAGATTTAACTAATCTTAAGATTAACAAAATATTGAGATCAAGCATTGATCTCGACATCCACAATACAAAAGTTCCCAGCTCTGAGCAATTCTATTTTCTTCTCAGCTAATTCTTACGATTGAGAAATGTACAGTAACATGAAACAATTTAGTCGGATTAAATTTGTATAACATGTTCTAACCTTGACATGCGAGCATTCTCCTGGAGTAAATACAAGAATATCACTTTTAGTCTGACCGTTGAATCCTCCATAGATATACATACTGCCATTGTATACCACTGCACTATGCCCAAACCGAGGCATGTCAGCAGAAAAATCCCTAAAATAGACAAATTTAACAAACAGACTAACAAACAAACAAACAAACTAACAAGCAAACGTGATCATTCTGTAGAAGTCAGCTGAGTTTCCGTCTAAAATCACTGTTAATACTATCTTCAATGTTCCCATTGGTTACAACATACGTCTTTTGTCACCAATGGTAAAGACCAATGACCTCTTATCTCTGGAATAGTTCATCTTCGTACTTTCTCAGTATGAATCTGTCGAAAATTATAAACACATTTATTTTAACAAGTTTTCATTTTTCTATAGAAATTGCTCCAGGTGTTCCTAGAACTCTTTAAAAATAGTTAGAAAAAGATTGAAAATAAAGTTGTATTAACAATACAGCTGGATAGATATATCTTTTTGTAATTTAACATTTAATTTTAAAACATTTATGAGTTAACTTCTGCAGAAATAGATTTTTTTTAAATAAGTAAATCAGTAATCGCCAAGTTTCTTATAATTTGTATTTGATTATTTTCTAAAAATGTGTCCTGAGCTGAAAACTTTTGAATTGTGGATATCAAATCAAATCAAATCAAATCAGACTATTAGGGACGTCCTACACCCAAACGCCACATTTGAGATGACAAATACTAAATCAAGAATAAAATCTATTTTTCGTAATCTTAAGATTATTTAAATCTTAAGTTTGTATCCAGGTAAATATCTAAAATGCAATCCGAGTGTTGATTGAAGAAAACAAACAGCCAATCAGAAGCAGGGAAATGTTAAATTTTGAGCGCAATAAAATGAAAAAACTCATTAATCGAAAGCCGATAGGATTACCCAAAAAGAGGGGGGCAGGGGAGCGGATTAAGAAGAAATCAAGTATCCACAGTAGATATTCAGATTAAACACTTTGTATTAGAGCATCCAATTCTAAAGTTTTCAGGTCTGAACAGTGTCCAAAATGTATCAATAAAATACAACAATTTCCTCTAGGCTATATCCTTTATCACAAGTTTTATCTTTATATAAAGTTGAAATCTCTATTTGTCTGTCTGTTTGTTTTTCCGATCATAACTTTGGAGCCCCTAGACCGATTTGCCTCAAATTTTGATTGGGGAACTCTTAAAAGCCACGGGAATGTTCTTAGTTTGGTTTTAAGATTCTAAGTTATGTGAGTCTACTATTACAGGGAAAAGAAACTAAAATCATAATTTAAAACCACGTTCGGGTAAATGGCGGGCATAACTATGAGTACCCTGGGCAACGCTGGATTCCAAAGCTTGTCATAAATATTTCCTAGTATACACCTATGAACTGTTTCCTCCAAGCTATATCATTTATCACAAGCTATATATAATCCTAGTATATACCTGGGAACAGTTTCCTCCAAGCTATACCATTTATCACAAGCTATATCATATGCAATAAAATCTGCACTGTAACATTTAGCGCCCTGAAAACACAAACAAACTGTGGGAAAACAATGTTTTGTTTGAAGTTGAATATTTCAACTTGAAGAACCAACTTTGTTTGAATAATGAAAAAGAAATTAATTAAATGTCAGAACTTTGAAGCTGAAATATCATTTGAACCCTCTACAAACATATGACAGAATAAAGATAAAAATTTTGTATTCTAAAACTTTCAGAGTTGTTCTCTAAAGGTCTGTTTAATATGAGCTGATGAAAATTAAAGATATTTTAAAAAAGAAAAAAAAACTTAAATAAAATCTGCTAGAAATAAAAATTGACATCCAAGATTGGCATGGAGAAGATATTTAGAAAAAGCAATAAAAACCTTAACATATTCCTTTTCACAATTTGTTTCACTAAAAGAGACAGTTATTGTAATTTCAAGTGACCCTCCATTTAAAAAAAAAAGGGTGGCATGCCCGATTCAAAGTGGCACACTTGAAACTTTAATCTGATCAATAATGTTGCAGGTAGCGTAGTTTTTCTAGGTTAAAAAGTACTTTATTCTGATTACAGTTTTCAGTTTTCCTGTAAAAGAAATGGGCAAGTCACTTTTGTAGAAAAGTCACAATTGAAAATAATCAGTTTTAAATATTATTTACGTGGATTCAATATTCTTATATGGTACCGCTGTGAATCGGCATACCACTCTATAAATTGAGGGTAACTTGAAATTAAGTTACCATTTAAATTAATAATGATCAAATTTTTGTTCTCCGTAAATTATCCAAAGCAGACATTTAAAAATATTTTCGATGTCAGGACGGGGGTCGGGGAGTAGGAACATAGATGATGGAGGGTTTATAAAGTTTGTTAATGTCCCTGTGAGAACTGCGTATCATTGTGCGTATTCCCTCCATAAACCAGCATGAGTTCACCGACAGCTACTGCACTGTGGAGGTAGCGGTGACTAAAGCTCGCCTTGCGTAGTTCCCATCTACATATACAGAATTAAGGGATTGTTTCCATCTAGAAATACAGAATTAAGGGATTGTTTTCCATCTAGAAATACAGAATTAAGGGATTGTTTTCCATCTAGAAATACAGAATTAAGGGATTATTTCCATCTAGAAATACAGAATTAAGGGATTGTTTCCCATCTTGAAATACAGAATTAAGGGTTTGTTTCCCATCTAGAAATACAGAATTAAGGGATTATTTCCATCTAGAAATAAGGAAATATTAATTTTACACCTTTCAGAAAAAAAGCAAGATCCTTCCAATGACTGAAAATTAAGGACTACCAGGAAAAAATTATCGTTTAGATGTTAACAAAAAAAAAAAAAAAAAAAAAAAAAAAAAATTGTCAATATAATTTTTAAAAATGGTACTCCCGAAAATGTATAAATTATTTTTTGATAAATTTTTTCAATGTTTAGACGTTTAATTACAGATATTATTAAGTAAAGAAACCTTGAAGCATGAATATCGAAGGCGTAGAGACTGTTTGATATCTCCGCGGCGGAACTGGAAATGGATACGTATCCGCCGTAGACGAATATTTTCTTGGTAGATTTATCGAATATTGCGGAGTGACCGTATCCGCCTTTGACTGGATAACCCTGGGTTTCTATAACATTCCAATCCCGACTCACAAAATGATATTCCTGAGACAAATATATTCAATTTAAATAATTGTTTTTTATGCTAAACATCAAATCCATAAAAAGATCAATTGCCCTCTCTCAAAGGAACTGATTTTCCCATTAACCTAATTTTCTAATAACAATATCTTTCCAATCTGATGGTCTAAACCTTTGATATTTTAAACTTTGACTGTTTGATCTACAAAAAGTGGGTTTGTTTTCAGGTTCCAAGATTCAAAACCGGAGTTTAAAGTCCAGCTCACCGAATATTGCGTTTTCAGAAATCTAAAACACCAACAGATTGCAAAACTATTAGTAGATAATAAGAATATTTGATGCATTAGCATATAGAACTTTTCTAAACGTAGATAAGAAATTTCTGGAGTTTGTAACATAAAGAAACATCGGATAGGAATAAAAGTGTTGATGAAATAATCACTTGCAATGAACACTAAAAGTTCCTTAAATATATTACCTGTACTGTATCAAGGAACCCGTATTTAGGCGAGTGTCCGAACATGATCATCATCCTGTTCTCTACCAGTGTAGCAGTATGACCGGCGCAGTGGATTTCTCCGCAGAGGTTACCAAGGCACCGTCCTCTGCACAACCATTCAACTCATTACATTATACAATTCACAATTTTGATATATTAGACATCATTTGAAGATTTTAGGGGGGTTTAGAAAAAAAGAGGGGATGGCCATAAAACGCTGATTTTTTACATGTGAATTCAAAATTATGTATTGTAACTGCAAAATTCAGTTTTATGAAAATCCGTTAAAAATGCGCGAGCGCGCGATTTTAGGCGTAACATGTTACAATGAAATGAACTTGAATTTGCTTTAAGATGCTTTCAAACATGTAATCCCTGAAAAGTTTTGCGCAAAAAACCCTCAAATCAAAACAAAAGTAGCATGCGATAAATCAAACTACTATTAAATTGGGTCGAGGAATAAATTCTGTGGTCAAAACAGACATTGGAGCGTTCTGATCGGCGCGCTAGTAGCTAGATGTTACAATATTGGTAATCTTTGCCACAAGTTTTATATGTCGTCTGTCGATAATTTGGTAATTAGGCACGGGATTCTATTTCTTGGGTCAAAATGTAGTTTGAGCACTCTGATCGGCGCGCTAGAAGCCAGCTATTGCGTTTTGGGTCATCTAATCACATATTTTTCGTGTTGTATGTTGTAATTTAAAATGGATTAAAGTGTGCTGAGTCATTGGTTTCCTATTAACAGTCTCCATCTGCCAGGTCCCACTTGAGATATTAAACGCCCACAACTCCTGAAACAAATATAATTATCTCATATACCAAGCAGACCGTCGGAATATATATATATTGTTCTAAGAATTTTGACTACTGAGAATCGTCATGAGAAGTGAAACATTGTGTTTAGTATGATTCTTTTTTAATATGTGAAGTTTAAAAACCGAATTATATATACATGTAACTTAAATCAAAATGGCATATGGGTTTAATCGTTTAGATGCAGGGCAATTATTAAATTCCCACGGGCAACACCAGGTGCGTACATCAGCTAGTATAAATTCAAAAAATAATATAATTAAACAGCAGGTTGTCCTTTTATAATACAAGCAAAAAATCTCTATTCAGTTTTTAATGCTCAGGTTTTTCTGGAACATGTGAAGAAAATGTTTATATTTGTCTTGTTTGCTGGTTATTCTGGAAAAATAGTGTTAAAATTACTTCACCCAATTTGACGTCTATTTTGTTTAAAGGATGTTTTTAATAAAAAATAAGAACAGTTTACGTGACAGTCCGACAAATTACCAGAAATAATACCTTGACCTGATTTACAACAGTTCTAATCCCAGTCTACATATGGGGATGTTCATAATATATTTGAAATTATCATGACCAATTATTTCAAGTTCGTGCTTGGGATTTACATTTCAGGCTTCTTGACTATGGATCCAAGTAGTAAAAGATCAACCAAAACAACTGAAAATAATTATTTTTGCTGAGCCATTCCATGATATTTCTCTCCGACACACACATTTTAAGTGCCAACTAATAAGAGATTGTAAAAACATCTTCCAAATCAAGTTTTAACATAATTATTAGCGAAAAAATTTGAAAGTTTCAGATATTTTTTTGCAAATTTTCATCAGCTTGTTTTGGATACAGTTTTTAACAGAATAGATCCGCATCAAAATTAAATAATTTCAAAGCATTGATCATGGCAAATTCCTTCAAATCAATTTTTTCACAAGGAAAATGAAAGTAACTTTTTATATGACAAGAAGTTTGCACAATCGGAGAATCACTTGAAACTTCAATTACATTCCGTTTAACATGAAGAGGAAGAATTTGAACTTATCATGAACAATTCCTTTATACTTGCAAAATGACCAACCTTAGAAACATGACCGGAGCGCATGACCCCTCCGTACATGTATATCTTGTTATCATGAGTTACTACAGAGTGTCCATATCTCTCACTAGGAGACCTAGATCCGTCAACTTCTACTTCAGACCAAACTCCACTTTTCAAACTCAACTTCCTAAAAAATATATTAATATTATCTGAATCAATCAATCAATCCTAAAGTGAGTTGATTTATCTGAATATCAAATGTGGACACTTTTAACTACTTTCTTAATCCGCTCTAATTCTTTCTTTTTCGCGCAAAATTTCAAATTTCCCGGCTTCTCTGATTGGTTGTTCTGGGCTCTCCAAACTCGATTGGTTGAGTTATTTACACGTTTGTTGATACAAACTTAAAATTAAATCAAACTGAAAATAAAATAAGAAAAAATCAAGCATTGATCTCGATATCTACAATTCTAAAGTTTTCAGCTCAGGATTAAAGAAAAATAATTATTTTTGATATTCTTGGAATTAATGAAAAAAGTTAGATATGAATGCACGTTTTTAGAAGACCGATCAGTCTCCTCAAAATACTTTATTTTTTCAACCTTAACTTTCAAAACAAATTAATTAGAAGTTTTCTTGGACAAAAAAGTTATTATTTTGTTGTTTTACTAAAAGATTAGTTCAATAACAACTCAAAGAAAATCCCATTTTCTAAGGGAATTTAAAAAACGTACTTTAGATGTTGCTGTAAAGAGAACTAAATGTAACTGTCACCCTGGGACCCCAACATTGATGACCTAAATTTTCAAACAGCAGTCAAAGAAACTGCATTTTTCCTTTTTTGTCAAACCCCTTATTTATATTATCTTTAAAGAAACATCAAATGGGATTAAAATAGTTCAAATTGATTGAATTAAAAACTGGTTTATTAAGTTTAAAAACATAGAAAAATTACCTGAGCATACTGAACAAGGAATGGACGATCAAGAAGAAAGAATGAAAAACAAGAAATATAGAAGTCTCAAAATGTTTCCATCTGATATCATATTGAAATTTAAAAATATTGTAAAATTTAATTAAAATAAATTATTAAAGTTAAAAATACCTGAGCCCCTGCCCTGTGTTGAGTAGCTCCCAGACTCCCATCTCCTCCTGCTGGTTACACTCCTCCCCCCTGAACCCGGGGGAGCAGACACATCTTTTCCTGGTCTCATCACATTTACCGTTCCGACCACAGTTGTGAGGACAGGCAGGGATCTCGCACGCAATTCCTTTATATTAATCAATCAATCAATGAATGAATCAATCAATCAATAACGAACATTCGTTTTTAAAATCATGATGCAGGGTTCCTCCCAGGTTTTTTTGTAGCAGATTAGAAGATTAAAGGCATAAATGGCAGAACTCCCCCCCCCCTCGCAGAAGATGAGGGCTGGGGGGTTGTTAAATGTTTTTGGAAATAAACCCTATTTACTCAATTTTGAGACACTAGGCTTACAGGGCGCTTCAATTGTAAACGTATTCTCTTTGAATCAAGTGTAAAATATATTCTTTTTTAAATCGCGGATTAAAAAAAATTTGTGGATTTTCAAAATTTAATGACAATCAAATTTCATTTTTTTTGAAATTTTCATCATCCATAAACCCTCCCATTGGTCACGTGATGTCCTACACAAAATTTGGTCCCGATAGGTTCTGCCGTTTTGTCGTTTATTGGAGACAAACAAACAGATAGACAGACAGACACGCTAAGAATATATATATAGATATTGACAATAAGCCAATTTAGTTTCGAAAAAGAACACATTTCGTCCTCTCCGGTTTAAAATAGGTTTAGTAAGATGGTTAAGTTTAGGGGTACAGGCCCGTAGCTATACTGTACAGGCCCGTAGCTATAATCTTAGAAAGGGTGCGTGACAAATAACCTAAGTGGTTTGATGTAGGAATTTTGTAAAATACGTTTTACCCCAAAAAATTATTTATAGTTCCCTAAAAACAATTTATGTTCCCCAATTCAACTCAAAAAATCTACACCTCTTTAACTTCTGGGGTAAAAATTATTTCAAGAGAGGGGGGGGGGATAAATGATTTTTCAAGAGAATATACACCCAACCCTGAACACTAGTAGTAGAAGAATTAGTTTTTTTTCCCATAATATAATTCCTTGCTCACCTTTGTAGTCGGGGTCACACTCACATTCCTTTGATTTCTCGTTACATGTTCCATGTCCACTAAAATATAACAATAGAAATAAGATTGATACTGGAAAAAAAGATAAAATAAAAAGTACAAAATCGCACTTGATATACTAATTTTTAACAACAACAAAACAAGGATATCTCCGTCTTTTTTACACAAACAAGGTTTAAGGTTTGTAATTGAGAATGTGAATTTGTCAGTGAAGGATCCATGGTATTAAAGGCAATCCTATCAGCTGGACAGATAAAATTTGGTATGGTTTTTTCTGGACAAAATTACATTTTTTTTTTTATTTATTTATTCTATTTATTCGAACACAATTATAATGGTACAATTTAAAATCAACGAGAAATGAGATATATAACATATAAAATATAGAATTAATATATAGTCGAAAACAATAAAATAAAATAAAAATAAAAACTTGTTAATTTTTACAAATATCATCAATAATTACATATATTTCATCATAGTTAAATCCTTCTAAAACATTTTGATTTGACCGGATTAATAGTAAATCTTTTAACAGTGGAATTCTCCACACATTTTCAGCCGGATTCGCATAAATCATGTTTGACTTTACTAGAGACTTGTTCAAGGACAGTTTATCTACATAGGTTTCATTTGCAATCTATATATAAATTTGGCTTGTCTGTTTGTCTGTCTGTCTGTTTGTTTGTTAGTTTGTTTGTATCCAATAAACGTCAAAAAGGCTGAACCGATCGGGCCCAAATTTTTTGTGGGACATCTAGGGACCCCAGGGAAGGTTTATGAAAAATAAAAATTTCAAATATTTGTCTCCATCAAAATTCGATCGTCATTAAATTTTTAAAAATTTTGAAAATCCGCGAAATTTTTTGTGAAAATCCGCGAATTATTTTTGTTTTGTTTTACGATGTACACAAAGAGAACATGTTCACAACTAATTTAGAAGATGGGCGCGAAGCGCCCCCTATCGCGCCCTATAAGGCTAGAAAGAAGGGCGCGAAGCGCCTTGAATTTCTAGTAATAGATAAATTCTTACATAATTTTGTTCTTTGGTCATTTTTGCATAAATCAAACAATAGTCGGATGCTGAGCTTGCGACTTTACACATAGATTCGCAAAATGATACAAATCGGCTACACAACATAGTTTTTAAATGAATTTACTCAGAAATTTGTTTAATAAAATATCTATGAGTTTGTCGTGGCAAACCAAATAAAATACGAATAGCAGTATTCCAAGAAGTATACAATCTTGATTAAAGACTAGATTGAGACACCAGCATTGCCAAGGGTACTCACAGTTACTCTTGCCACTTACCCGCCCTTGGTCGTAAATTACGATTTAGCTATTTTCCCGTTAATAGTAGACTCACTCAACTTAAAATCTCAAAACTAAGCTAAGAACATTCCCGTAGGTATTCCAAGTTCCCCAATTAAATTTTAGGCAAATCAGTCAAGGGGTTCTGGAGTTATGACCAGACAAACAAACAAACAGAGATTATAATTTTATATATGTAGATATAGATTCAGTAGTTTCTCTGGCCGATTGTTTTTTTTTCAGAAGACAGAAGTCAGAACTTGATGGTAATCTTGGATTCAACGTACACAAAGGATAACGGCTTGATCCCGGGATTAAGGGTTTAGAAGTTTTGACTGACCTGCACGTAGTAGCTGAGTATTCTGTAGGACAAGAATCCATGCTGAAACTTATATTAAACCCGCTCATGTTGTACGCAACATCACTATAAACACAATAGATTCTTCAAAATAGATTTTTTTATTGATGGATTCATTTTTAGATTTATCAATTAATTAATTATTGACATTTAATTGATTTTTAAATGAAGTGCTTGGTTTCAAAATTGATTGGATGAAAAATTAATCGATTAATTTAAAAAACGCCTGACTGATTTTTCATTTAGTCAAGTGATTTTGTAAATTGATTAATTGATCTTTCACTGTAAGTTACAATTGATTTATCAAAATATAAGATGAACAATTTTATTCATTGATTTTTCATTTGGATGATTGATACGGAGTTGATTGGTTAATTGATTTGTCTATTTAGTATTCCTATAGAAATGTAGGAGCATGGAACCACTGTTCCCAACCACTTCTGGAACACGGGCTGTTGAGTAGCGTTCCAATCTTACTAAACCAGAGTACACAGCCTAGAATAGTACAATGAATAGTATACAGTTTAGAATAGTACAGTATATAGCTGAGTACAATGCTTAAAATAGTACAATTATTTATTATGGCAGGCTGCAATGGGGAGGGGAGTACTGCGGCTAGACCAGGCTAGGGTGGCGAGCGCTGCGCTGCCGCTTGGAAAATTGCACAATTGGGAAGTTGCCACTTGGGGAAAAGCCTTTGGTAAAGTACATCGTTATAAATATGAATTTTAGTCTCAATAAACCTCGAAAAGGATTAAGGCCACATATTAAAGTGACCGACATAAGGAAACATAAGGAAATGAAATCTGAAAAAGAGGCCCCGATATGAACCCCCCAGACCCCCTCCAGGCGCAGGAAGCACCGTCCCTGCTCTAACTGGACCTTTACACCCCCAACAGTTACTTCATTGTCATGGGATAAAAAGGAGATACATTCCAGCCAGTTGGCCCATCAATTAACATTCATGGGCTCTAGGCAATAGATTTTGTAGTTCTTAAAAATTCACTGATACAACAGGTGTTCTTTTGTTTGATCGTTTACGATTTGAAAAAGCTCAAAAATCTTTAAATTAAATTCCTGTTTATTCTGGTTATCACTGTATATTAACCTACCTGTAGATCACTGAATACACTGTCACCATCCCATATATACAGATGATCCCACCCACACTCTGTTGCAAACTCCTTAATAAATTGAACAATCAATTCAAAACAACAAAATAAGATTTGAAATTTTTTATCTGTTCTTTCTGACGGAAAGGCAAAAAAAAGAAAGCATTGCTGAGATACATGAAGGATAAAGATGATGCATAGATGCTAAAAGAACAAACATAAAATAAAGTAAACTGAATACAGTAGGGGGGGGTGAATTTCCAAAAATAAAACAATTTGCTTGAAATCATTACGGCAATAATCAATTCCTATGTTAAAAAAACAATTCTAAACAATTCTAAGAGTAATTTCTTTAACGACACTTTTTGATTGTAGGTCGTCTTCCTTAGCTAACTGGCACTGCAAGTTTTGACATTTAAAATCTTTTTCTGAGATCTGTGATTTCGCAGTACACAAGCAAAATGCTTCCAATGATAACGGCGATAGTCCATTTCTATGTAAAAATACATTACAAAAACAAAATCTCATAACAGGCTTTGATTGGAGGTCGTCTTCGTTAGCTAACGGGCACTGCTAGTTTTGACCTCAATGTATATATACAGGGTGTCCCACGAAACATGACCGTTGGTGAATAGTTTAGAATGTCTTTTTCCCTAATTTGTTAAGTTGTGTGATAGCAAAGATCAATAAAAATATTATATGAGAGTCATATTATATCAATATTGATTTCAAAGTAAAATATAATTAAGCAAAAGATTTGTTTAACTAAAAATAGCTATTTATCAAATGTCATGTTTCGTGGGACACCCTGTATATTCTTTTTCTGAAATCTATTTTTTCGCACTAGCATGATATATACTTCCAATTCCTACGGCGATAGGCAATGCCACTGTTGAACAATTCTAAGAACAATTTCTTTAATGACACTTTTTGATTGGAAGTCGTCTTCGTTAGCTAACTGACATTCCAATTCTTTACCTAAATGTACTCTTTTCTGAGATTGGTGATTTCGCACTAGCATGCAAAAAGCTTCCAATTATTACAGCGATAGTCACTTCAAAAGTAAAACAATTCTAAGAACAATTTTTTTTCTGACACTTTTTGATTGGAGGTCCTCTTCCTATGCTGAATGGCAACACAGATCCTCAGTGCCAGTTAGCTTGAGAAGACGACCTCCAATCAAAAAGTGTCATGAAAGAAATTGATCTTAGAACTTTTTAGAAATGATTTTTTACAGTAGAAATAATTATTGCCATGAATATGGAGATCATAACGCTTGTTTTTTGTAAAATATCAGATTTCAGAAAAATAGTATATATAGGCCAAAACGAACTGTCATAAAAGAGTTTGTTCTAAGAATTGTCCTTTTTTTACATAGAAATTGACTATAGCCGCAATCGTTAAAAGAATTTTGCTTTAGTAATTCGATCACAGATTTCATAAAAAATAGATATAAAGGTCAAAACTTGCAGTGCCAGTAAACTAAAGAAGACGAACTCCAATTAAAAAGTGGCATAAAAGAAATTGTTCTTGAAATTGTTTTTTACGTAGGAATTGACTATCGCCATAATTCTGTGATGCAATTTAAAAATTCACTCTCCCTAGACTGTACAGTGTACAGTGAACACTGTGAACTAGACAAAAATAGAGGGTCAAATTCATGCCACATTACTGGTCAAACTGTTTGACCTCGCAGCTCCTCTAGTTTTTATTTGTTTAGAAAAGCAAACTTATCCGGATACATTAAAGAAATTCAAAGATGTTCTTCTCAATAGGAGGAGATATCATTGGAAACATAGTAGATTTCAATATAACATGATGTCCATGGTTTGAGAAGTAATTGTCTTATAGCAGTTGGGTACAGAGGGAGTACATGCTTAACAGGAGTTGGAAATAGATGGAGTACATGTTTCAGAGGAGTTGGGTACAGAGAAATTACATGTTTAGGAGGAGTTGGGTATAGAGGGAGTACATGTTTGAGAGGAGTTGGTAATAAAGGGAGTACATGTTTCAGAGGAGATGGGTAAAGATAAATTACATGTTTCAGAGGAGTTGGGTACAGAGGTAGTACATGTTTGAGAGGAGTTGGGTACAGAGGTAGTACATGTTTGAGAGGAGTTGGGAATACAGGGAGTACATGTTTCAGAGGAGTTGGGAATAGAGGAAGTTCTTGTTTCAGGGGAGTTGGGTATAGAGGGAGTACATGTTTAAGAGGAGTTGGGTATAGAGGGAGTACATGTTTAAGAGTTGGGTATAGAGGGAGTATATGTTTAAGAGTTGGGTACAAAGGAAGTACTTTTGTTTAAGAAGAGTTGGGTATAGAGGGAGTTCATGTTTGAGAGGAGTTGGGTATAGAGGGAGTACATGTTTGAGAGGAGTTGGGAATATAGGGAGTACATACATGTTTCAGAGGAGTTGGGAACAGAGGATGTAAATGTTTAAGAGGAGTTGGGTATAGAGGGAGTACATGTTTAGGAGGAATCTGGTATAGAGGGAGTTCATGACCAATTAATTTCAGCAAAATCATTTATTATTTTGTTTTTATTTTAGAGTCAGGTTAGGTCTATTTCAGGGCCAAGCGCGAGCGCTGCGGCTGGGGCAGGTTATGAGGCCGAGAGCCGCAGCTAGGACAGGGGCCGGGCGCTGTGGCCACATGACCAATTATATCCATGTGTTAATTATGAGATCATGTACAAAAGTTATAGGAGGGGTGGTAGGTGGGTCCAAAAATCGTTATCTAGTAAATTACCAGATAGAGTGAATACATTTTAAGAACATTACTACAAATTTTAAAAAATAACTCGAAAAATAGATAAAAAATATATTTACGTTTAGATGAAGTCTGATACTAGAGTTTGGAGATTCAGCTTCCACCAACCAACTACACTTCATGTTAAAAGTGTAGTTTCCATAGGACTCAGCTATCCAACTTCGGGGTCCCTTGTCGGTCAACCGAACCTTCCCTCCACACAGCTCGCAGCGCTGTCCCATCCAACCCTCCCAACAGTCACAGCGCGACGTATCACCTTCATCTGTGGATGTCACTATACAGTCGCCGTTTATACAATTTTCTTTACAAAGGTCTAACTCTATACTGGTCCTAGCTGGCACAAATAATAAACTAAAAATCACAGAGAAAGTAATAACGTTTATCTGACCTGAAAGTGGCCCTTTTCGTCGATATTTTGATTTTAAAAGGAGGAAAAGTGTCACTCGGGACATTTTTGGTTTTGTGACTGCTTAACTGGCAACAGAGCTAGTTTTCAGAACAGTACTGCTTGTAAGAGGACACTGAATTCATATGTTCTGAGGATATCCAGTTCAGATTTCTCTGTATTTAGTACACAACCTGTCTCTCTCTCGTTAACAAGGGCTAACAATTCTTCACAAATATCTTACCACTTTTCTACCTTATTCATTACTATAAAGGATAATTTTTAGGAAAGGGGAATTTTTTTTCCAATTTATTAATTTTTATCTGAACAATTGAATCCATCTGGCGTAAAAAGTAGTTCACGGGCAGAGCAATTTTAATGACAAATCTGTTAATATATAACTCAATATTTATAAGAACTACAGTAGGGGATACATTATATTTATACTTTATCTCTCCTTCAAACAAAACTAGCAGAAAAAAGCATTGTTTTTAAAAAATCGACATTGTAGTATTTACTGTTATGTTAATGATTATTTAAATTCTATGAACACATTTTAAAAATATGAAAAACTCAACATAAACTTAAATTCTTTGAGATGAAAAAAGGACAAAGGTCCAGGAAATAATAATGACTTGTAAATATGGGTTTCCATGGCGAACGAAACATTTCGAGAAAAAATGCAAAATTTTAAGTCACATTTCGCAAACTTCTTCGCAAAATTTAGCATTTTTTCGCGAAAATAAATGAAGCAAAGTAATCGAAATTTCGCGAAATACGAAAATTTCGCGAAAATATTTTAGCGAGATGCGAAAACTTTGTGAAAACCATTAGTTTTATAGCTGCAACAATTTTAATGGCTCAAAAGAAAGCTTTGAGAATTCTCTGCTCTGATAGCACAATATTTAAAGTTTTATTATGTCATATAAATAATTTCTCTTCCTTTACTTTAATAAATGTTTGATGAAGAGAATTTGAAAAGTTTCTGTCTGTCCGTCCATAATACATACGTTCAATCGTAATTATGAGCCAGCTAATTACAAGAAATTTAAGAATTTAAAATATTCCGAATTATTTTGGTTCTTCCCATAGTAGATTTTATTTTGTGTTTTAAGAATAAAGATCGTAATGGTCGAGAAAGTATTTTCAAACAAATTTATGAATTATCTGATGTCTCCTATAATAGTTCTTAAATTTTGTGTTAATCCATCAATTGGGCTCCCTCTTAAAATGATGAATTTTCACTAAAGTTTTGCATTTGTTTTTATAAATTCTGTATTTGTCCTGAAATTTTTGTTTTTGTTGCATAATTTCCATTCTACTGTGATCGGAACTCTTTTTTTCATCCGCAAATGTCTTTTTTGTGGAGCTCCAGCATCAGATGATTAAAAGCTGTCTTTTTTTAGTCCGCAATTGTTTGCTGGCGGAGTTTGATTCCATCGTCGGATCAAAACTAATTTATCAGTCCGTCTGAAGAACTTTGAGGATGAAAAGACAAACTGTTTCTTCCGATATGAAATCAAAAAGGATGATAAAAAACGAGGGCCCGCTGAAAAGNATAATATTAAACCATTTTTAAGTCAAAATTTTATTTTGAACAGAATTGTTTTAGTATTGAATTTTACAAAAAAAAAGTGCTTATAGATTTATTTCTATAATTTGCAAAGGATATATATATATATATACATATAATGAAAATGAAAAAAGTTAGATGATGAGCACAATTATTAAAATTTAAAGTTAATGATGTGTATGATCTCAAAAAATGTTGTTTTCAAATCAAAAGGGCAGTTATTTTGGAGGTTTTATTTCTGGAAAACTTTGAGGATTTCCTCCCTGATCAACTCCTCCGACCTCCTCCTCACGTGGTTCACCAGCATTCTCTTGTACAAATTTTCCCTGAACAAGCAGAGACAGAATTAAAGGGACTATTGTAAAATTTAAAGGACTCACCGGAATTAAAGAGACTAATTACAGCACGACAATCAACGGAATTAAAGGGAATGTCAACGGAATTAAAGGGAATGTCAACGGAATTAAAGGGAATGTCAAAGGAATTAAAGGGAATGTCAACGGAATTAAAAGGAATGTCAACGGAATTAAAGGGACTTTCAACGGAATTAAAGGGAATGTCAACAGAATTTAAGGGAATGTCAATGGAATTAAAGGGAATGTGAACGGAATTAAAGGGACTATTAACAGAATTAAAGGTAATGTCAACGGAATTAAAGAGACTATCAACGGAATTAAAGGGACTATAAACAGAATTAAAGGGACTATCAACGGAATTAAAGGGAATTTTAACAGAATTAAAAGGGAATGTCAACGGAATTAAAGGGACTATAACATAATTAAAGAGACTATTAACGGGATTAAAGGGAATGTCAATGGAATCAAAGGGACAATCAACGGAATTAAAGGGACTATCAACGGGATTAAAGGGACTTTCAAGGAAATTTCAACAGATTCATTGAGGAGTTCCTTTTCCTTATCCTTGCATGTGTAGTAAAAAAAAAATATTTTTATACCAGACCGACTGAATTCAGAAATATTTAGGTTCATTTTCAAATATGCATTTTGAATATAAAAAAAATTAAGTTATTTGTCCGATAAGGGTTGTTCTTGATTTTTCTTTTAGTTACATTTTTAGAATAGAATTTTTTTAAAGAACCTTGAAAAAAATTTGTTCTCGATATAACTGTGCAACATGCAATGTTGTAGACATTAGATATTTCAACCAATGAATTCTGAATGAATAGAACAAATATCAACGGTTTACACCATCAGATTGCAAATATAAAGGGATTAGAAAATCCAAGTTTGTGGCAATACTTTGCAGTACTTTTTTCTGCCATGACATTTTTTTAAACTTTTCACTATTTAGTTATAGACAAAACTTACTGAGTCAGGGTTCTCTCTTTCTGCATTGATAGGTTCAGAAGAGAGCTTGGGTTTAGTTCCTCTACATTCGTAGAATTCTTTTCATCATCATCTTTATTGGGCCTAAAGCATAAAAAAACTGTTTGTTTAAGGAACTGTAGAAATGTCATAATCTTTATTGTGCCTAAAGAATAAAATCTGTTTGTTTAAAGGGCAAGTCAAACTAATTTCATTATCTTTCTTGTGCCTAAAGAATAAAATCAGTTTGTTTAAAGGGAAAGTCAAACTAATTTCTTCATTTTTATTGTGCCTAAAAAATAAAATCTGTTTGTTTAAAGGGAAAGTCGAACTAAAAACTGTTAGTTTTAAATAACCCTTAATTTAGAGCGAAGAATGTCCATTTCAACGTAACTATTTCCTGTTATGACAATATCTAAACTCTCAAAATTTTCTTACTTTTGGTATCAAATTGGACCTACATTACATACAGAGTGAGAAAAAAAAGTATGATTAGCGGCGCTGTGTGCAAAATTGTAC